ACAGGACCGATCACCGATGGCCAACCGTTCCTTCCTACTTCGCCAATGGTGGCTCAAAAATGTCGTCCCTAGTCTATCTATCCCAACGATATCACTTCCCGCCTTTCTTTTCAAACCACTTCCTACTCCCCAGTACAGCTATCTATCTATACCGTCCTCTCCTCTCTATTCCATGCCTCAAACATCCCCCTGAACTTCCCTTGTATTTTTCCCAGCTCAGTCATGTGCACTTCCCTCTCCTCTTCGTACAACTGACATTCCGCGACTACATGAACACGGTCTTCGCACTCGAAACGCAATCAATCACATTTGAACTTGTCGTCTTCGTTGTCTACCGTCCTATGTCTTCGTCGACGTTCTCGAAGGCCTATGTGCCCGGTCCTGAATTTGACCTTAAGCTTTGTTCCTGCATCCATTGGTCCATGTAGGTAATCCTTGAGCCCTATTCCTTCTTTCAACATTCCGTACACTTCTAGACCCTCCTTATCCTCGGTTTCTTTCCTTAGATTCTGTTTTTCTCTCTCGGCACAAGCAACAGATATCTTCTCCTTGAACCCCTGTACACTGTAGTAGACCCTCCGTTTCCAGGGTTTCATCTTCGTCGGTTTCGAACCCCTTCCACACGTGCTCTACAACCTTGACCCATTTTGTGGGTTGTCTACCCCTCGTTTTGTTTGCCTACTTCGCCTCCCGTACTATTCTCGGCAACCTCTCCTCTCCCACCCCGCACATGCGATACTGCCATGTCAGCTTCCTTGCGTCTCTTCCCGACCGTGGGGATTGGATCCCCAATTCTGCCCTGACGGCTGCATTACTTGTGCGCTTGGAGCATCCTAGAATGATTTTGCTTTCATCTGCGCCGCCTCGAGTTCTTTCACTACCTTCTTATTTCCTTCCCATGCTTCTCCGACGTACGGTACGATTACGCTCTTCAAAATCGTCAATTTGATGCGTGTATCGAGGTGCCGGTTTGAGAGTATTGGGTGCAGCTTCCCTGCTCGTGCTTTACCCTTTTCCGCTACCTTGAAAATGTGTGCATTCCACGAGCAGTCTTTTGAGATCTCTACTCCGAGGTATGTGTACTGGTCCACTACTGCAATCTCCTCGATACCCCACTTCCACCTGTATTCTATTGGTTCCTCCCTGTCCTCGTTGCATACCATGACGGCACTCTTCTTAACGTTGGCAGACAATCTCCACTTATCAGTAAACTTTTTCGCCGCATCAATTTGCAGTTGCAGTCCCTCAGGGGTGTCCGACATACCAACAAAATCATCCGCAAACAGCATTCCTGACAACGAAGTTTCCGTGTCCGCTGCTTTTACTCCCTTCCGGACTGCCTCTACGACTTCCAACAGATCGTTGATGAACACCTGGAACAATGTTGGGGACAGCGTGCAACCTTGTGGGACCCCCTGTTCAATGTCGAAGAACTTTGACAGGGGGAGGGGGGGTGTACTCATAGTCGTGCATGCCGTACGTAGTTGTTAGACCATTGACCTCGCATCCCCACAAAGCCGGGACGGAGGACGCCGGATTCTCACCGGACCAGGCTCTCACATCACCAAGCACGAAGCGCCGTGAGGTATTCGGCGAGTCGCATGAAGGGTGCACTGAAATCTGCTAAGGGTGTTCGGCATCTTCTGCTTACGTCCTTGCGTACGGATGACAGCTGCGTATGACTTGATTTATTTTCTGGTGATTTCGCTTCCAGAGACAGTTGTAAGCACTGTGTAACTGCCTCGAGGGTGCTTGACCAATTTAATACAAGGTGGTGCAATTATCCCCCTTTGCGCGTAGTGAGGGTTCTCGACCCCGCACAAGAGGGTTCCCGACCCCGCACAACATAAGCTACTCGATCACCATTCATGGTTACCGAAAAAAAAACACACGAAAGGCAAAAAAAAAGCGGTAATAACCTGGTTACCAATCTCACGAAGTGATCGGCTTGTTTTACAACATCGCTGCCAAGCGATGAAAACCCAACCCCGGTGGCAAACACCGGGGGGAGCAAACCTCGGGGGGGGGAGGTCGCGCCCCGAAGTGGGCAGGTATTCCCGCATCTCGGAGAGTAGCGTTATTCCAACTGACACGGTGGGCTGGCAGCGTAGACAATAAAAATACATTGTGTTCATAGTCGATCACGGCCTCCCAACCTCCCCACTCAACCCTTGACAAGTTGTGATCGGTGCACAACCTACACCTCAAGCGAGGGGGGTTGTTGTACTGAACTAGATAGAACACTCGCTCGCGCGAACGGTTGTTGGTCGACAACTGCTGCTTATGATCTGTCTTGTTGTAGGCGAAGCACGAATCCCAATAGCGGTATGACGAGAGTGAACGCGTGGGGAAAAAGACCGAGGGGGCATGGATGCGCCCCCTTCGTAGCAAGTAAGTGCGTCCCTGTCGATATTGCCAGGGTCATGCTGTGCGTGCAAGAAAAACTCCTAATCAAGAAAAATCATTTGTAATTTTCAAGCGATCGCGCGTAGGGTCGGCGCAAAACCTGAATCACGAGTAGTATAATATGATAGTTACGAATCTAACAAGGTTCCTTACACCATGATGTAGGGACAATTTTGCATAGTATATGCAAACGTCTGGTGTTTCCCGCAACGAACCACATCGCAGACGTACGATAAGACCATCGACAGCAAGACGGGCCAGTCGTAGGCGAAGGGACCAAAACTAATTCCCCTGGGCTGCTACAATACCCCGAACAACAATGGCAAGGACGTATGATCATAAGTTTGACTCTAACGGGGGGGGGGGGGGGGGGGGGGAAAGGGACAAAAACCCCCCAAAACTTTCCCCCCCCCAAATTTTGGTCCAAAAGAAAAAACAATCTAAATTTTCCAAAAACATCCACCGAGGTAAAGCGATTGTTGCCCAAAAAAATGTCACCGTTCTTGTACGGTTGTCCAGATGCACTTCGGGGGAGTCAAGCCATTTGCGTCCCCCCTCTGTTGGCATCTGTTAGCCGGGACAACACAAGAAGGTGCAAGAGCTCGTAGTAGTCTACTGTGTTTCATTTGTTGTCAGCATCGACCGAGCTAACCAACAGACCAATCAATGAAAAGAGGCGGTCTGTTTCAGTACGCTTGAAAACACAAGTAAGTGATTTCTCGACGTGTATGTGTAGGTGGTGCATAGTAGGTGGGTCACTGGTGTCCATAGGCAGGTTGTGGGTAGGTTGGGGCACCGACTACAACCTCGGGGGCGGGGGGGGGGGTTGCAGGGAGGTTGCAGCCGCAAGTGTGCTAGTTGTCCCGCATCTTGGATTCTGGCATTATTCCAATCAAATACGGCGGGCTGCAAGCCTGAAGAAAAAATGGGTTCAAGGTAGAACTCGCGGCCTCCCAACCTCCCCCCCCCCAGGTAGGTTGTGGTTGGTGCCCAACATGCCCCTCTGGCCACCAGTGGTTTGATGTATTTTTGCATGCACGATGCGAAGTGGATAGAAAATGACACCACCAGGACTCGCCGCCAACCTCATTGTCCGGAAGAATAAAGATGCAAGTATGTGTGGCCTGAAGCCGGAGTAAGACATTCTGGTGTGGCGGGAAATTGTTGCAGAACCAACCGTCCGTGTCTTCTCTGTGCCGTTGTAAGGAGGGCTTGTGGGTTTCAACCTTTCTTCATGGCCAGGTGACGGTGGTCTCTGCGATAGTTCTCCTTCGTACGTATTTCTAGCCCCGGTAGTTAGTTGTTGCCATGTCTACACAGTACTACAATTTGACGTTGTTGTTATTGGTGTCATTCTCCCATATACCAGCAAGCAGCATGATTCCGTCGTCTACGGTATATTATTAGAGGGAATCCACGTGTTGTTGAAATGACGTGAAAGATTGACATTTCAGGAAGTTTTGACGTGAAGAGGTTGCGCCGCTTTTTGGGGGGCAAACTCTGACGGCGAAATTTTTGTGAGGAAGCGTCAAAATTAAATTTCACCCAAACATAAAACGACGCGAAAAGATTGACGCTTCAAACATCGCCAGACTGTGGCTCACACACGCTTGCTCTGCTGCGGTCTGCTGTGCGCGGTCAGCAGCGAACACATTGGCCATGCCTATACTGATTGCTCCTAGCGGTCCTGCACCCACGCGTCTCGGCAGTTCTCACGGCGGCCAAGAGGCCAGACGCGCGTGTTCGGCGCGCGCGTTCGGTAGATGCGCCGTCGCGATTGCGCACGGGCTTTCAGCAGCAAAAAGGGGCATAGGCAGGGGAGTGATTGGGGGAGTCTCGCCCTCGAAGGCAGCACATGGAGAGGAGTAAGGGAGGGTACACGGACTTTGCCAGTCAGTAGGTGCATTTCGCCCGCCCCCTCACGGGGTTCGGTGCTCTGCTGCCGCAGTGACATCGGTATATACACAGCAGTGCAGCGAGCAGCTGCCTTACTCATCAGCAACGAACGGCAGTTTGACGCCTGGGAAGTCGCAGTTTGACGCCTGGGAAAAGTCGCCGCGGCAAAGGAGGGAAGGTCGGCGGGATGAGGCGAAGGGGTACACCTAGTCTCCTGGGAGCCTGGGGGTGTGAGTCTTCGCTTCGGAATGTCGACCCTGGGTGGCAGCCCGAACCAACCTTGAACTCTACCTCCACCATTTTTTTTTTTCACCTCTCACGTGTCAACGGGCACACGCGGTGCGAATTTTTTCCCGTCAAAACCCTCAACCACCGTCACTTTATGTTGGCGTCAATCCTCAAAGGTCAAAGGTCAAAATTCCGCGTCAATCCATAGTGGATACCCTATATTATTATGCCGAAAAGTCAACGCGGGGAGAGGTCCGAGAGGTCTCATTCCGATTGGGATGTCGCAAAACGCGCACAAACGCACGCAACACGGGTTTGTCTCATCGCCCACTCTACGTACGGTGGTAGCACACCTGACCAAAACATTACGCTCGCATATCGTGTAGACTACATGGTGTTGGTCTCTGTCGACCACACACGCACGCATGTCGTGGGAGCCTGCGCGAGCCAGGGTGACCGCATGCGATATGCGATGCGTCCCCTCGCGTCGTCAAGGAAAATCAATGGTTGGTTGTGAAACGCGATGTACAGTAGTACGGTAGTAGTCTGCACTGTAGTAGATTACATGGTCTCTGTAATGATGAGATGACATCTGAATTACATTAGTCTATGTTACGAAACATGGGAACTCAGTGGTGTTGCGCTGGTTGCAAAGGGCATCCCGCGTGTGTGTATGTATCAGCGATGGGCGATTTGATGACTACGTCGCGTATACATCCGCGAGTGAGTGTACAGCAGAGGTAGAGAGAAATGTTTGAGAGAGGGGCGTCTGTGAAAAGAGGGAACCGTCCTCGACAGACGTTGGGGAGTTTCTACCTTTATGAAGGTGGTCTCCACATTATTACCCCCCCCTTTTTTCGAGACTTTTTCTTGTTTTCCAGGCAAGAGAAGTCTTCTTGGGGTAACCGGAACCCGACCGGCTGGCGGCGGGGCGATTCACATTCCTCACAATCCTCTGACATCTCACGTCGACGCCATTGTGAAAAGAGGGAATCGTCCTCGACAGACGTTGGGGAGTTTCTACCTTTATGAAGGTGGTCTCCACACGTCCTTCATTACCAACCAGCACAGTATCTGCTAGATGGCACAGTGTTGCCTTCGTTAAAAGTTCATGGAATGTTCCATGATGGGGGCGGCTGCAACATTTCTCGCGCATGTTTGAGTTTCCTAAATGGGGAGTACTTACAGCTGTATCTATGCATTCGTTCCAAGAAGACACTGGTGCTGAACGGTAAAAAATTACCGCCTGTTACTGCTGCTGCTGTCCTCTCGACGGTCGTTGGTTCGTTTGGGGTTCAACTGCTTTTTCTGTTTTCATTAATCTACTGCTGTACATGTACAGCGGCACTTCTCTGTCTTTTTTGCACCTGCAGCCAAGAGAGAGTTATAGATGCATTCACTGGTAGTGCTGTACCTGCTGATACGTCAAATGTACACCGAAAGATGCAGACTGGCGCCACCATACATACCTGTGGGCACGACGCAAAATATCTAGTTTTTTTTTAAACAGTTGACAGTTTCGGCCGAAAATTGTAAAAAGATTACACGCCTCCCATCCCACGGAACACCGGATCTCCGTATTTCGTGGTTCCCCACTCCCCGCGTTGCCAACACTTCAAACGAAGGACCAAGTCACGCTACTCTCACCTCTCTATCTCTCTCGCGTTTCTCTTGTGCTCGCATACAACGGACTGTGTCGTGTCATTCCTTCCCACTGCACAAGCGGCTTCAGCTCTATCGGGAAAGAGGAAAGACGAACCGGTTTGTCTGCGAATAGCGTTTTTGGGCGGCTCTTTGCTCTTTGCTGTAGGTCGCTCGTCCACAAGAGATCCTTGTGTACTAACCAACGCAACGCTCGGGGAAGTATCATATCGCATACCCCCACGACGATGGCGGAAGTCGGCCAAAAATTCGACGACGTTCTCCGGAACCTGGCGGGCCAGGCAGGGTCCCTCGAGGCCTTGCTAGGGGCGTTCTTTTCCTTCCTCCACAGGAACACCGACTTCTATGTCACCTTCGATCCCACCAAGACGGCCAGGGCGGGCATGGGCTTCCCGGCTGGAAAGGCGGAAAAGCTCCTCCTCCGCGCGTTCCGATCCTTCCCGTACAAGTCGTACGGAGTCCAGGACGAGCAACTGCCGGCGGCAGCAGGGAGAGGGCGAGGACCAACATCGGCGAAGGAAGTTGCTGCGACAAAAATTGGCCCTGCCGGGGGCTCAATCTCGCGGAAGAACGATACCCGATCTTCTCCTCGGGATACAAAAGCCGGCGGCGTCGACACCGCCCCTGGGCGTGGCGGTCGTGCCCCGGCACCACAATCTTCAGCAGCAGCAGCAGCAGCTGCTGCTGCTGCACCATCATTACCATCGGCGTCAACTCCCGGCGAAGGCTCCGTCGCTCCTTCCTCCACGACAACCCCGCCTCCTGAACCACCAACCACCGCCAATGACAAACCGGCGGCGGCGGCGGCGGCGGCGGCGGGAGGCGTAAGCGTGCGCTACACGAAGGACGGAAAGCAGGTGCCTATCGGCAACGGCGGCGTAACCGACAGGTACTACTGGACGCAAACAGTAAATGAAGCCACGGTGTACGTCGACGTGCCCCCCGGCACTCGCTCCAAGGACGTGTCTTGCGTCATTCAGCCTAGATGGCTGAAGCTAAAAGTAAGAGGTGCAGGCGCGGCGGGAGGGGCGGGGGCAGCAGCAGCAGCAGCGGGAGCAGCAGCAGCGGGAGCAGCAGCAGCGGGGGCTGAGGACGTGGTTTTCGACGGGGAGCTACCGAGCGCGGTGTCGCGGGAGGACAGCATGTGGAGCCTGAACGACGGCAAGACGGTAGTGATATCTTTCGAGAAGACGACCAAGTCGTGGTGGAAGAGCGTCGTCGAGGGTGACCCGGAGATAGACACCTCCAAGGTGGGATTCAGTTATATCGACGGCGACGATCGGCTTTCTCCAGACTCTTACTGAACGTGCAGCTTGCTTTGTCGCTGTCGCCAACCTCACTACAAGCACCGCCATACATACCGTAGGTTGCGTAACGTACCACACCCCCTGGACCGATTTAAGAGCTTGATTACAGTACTCCACGACGAAGGGGATGCCACGGTCAAATAACGCACTATTTTCGAGACGGTTCCAACCCCGCCGTTTCAGCACAGTCACGTTTTTTGCTGCAGAGGGATGGAGATTTGATAGAGGCTCCAGGAGGTGCGGTATCTCGTGCAACCAACGGTACACCATTGTTGTTGAATTTTTGTTTCGTCTTGCCTTCGTGACTTCCGCTTTGTATTTGAGTGCCAAGTGCCAAGACTTTTGCGTGATAGTGGTGGCGGCACCGCCTGGCTTTGGGGCGAGGCAGGCGGGCCGACGACAGAAACCAAGCACAATTTCTAGCTGTTTCTCCTTCAGGCCGCAGCGGTAGCAATTGTTGGAGCTACGGCAGGTCACCGAAGGACAACGTGAAGACCGGCAGCCCTTTCGCGACTGCGTCCAAGCTCAATCAAGAACAACACGATTTTTTGGTCTTGAGTCAAACCCGGAACTCGCTGTGTGCTGTTGTGGATAGACACGGAAACGCGGAGATCGGACTGACCTGCTCCGTTTTCACGATTCAGTACCTTCTTGTCAGTACAGCAACAGTGAAGAATGTTGAAGTTGGTTACCTTCCCGCGATCCACACTCGCCATTCGGTGTCCACTCCATATCCGAATGTAGACATTAATATGTGTACCACTCAATCCTTGTACGTCCATATTTCTTGTTGTGGTTCAGGTCGACTCAACCACCAAGATCAGCGAGTACGACGGGGAGACTCAGGGCGCGATCCGCAAGATCATGTTCGACCAGCGGCAGAAGTCGCTCGGCCTTCCAACGAGCGACGAGCTCAACGCCGACGCTCTGCTTGAGAGGGCCAAGGTCTTGCCGGGCAGCCCGTTCCTTCCGGGCGGCGTGCTCTTCGAGGGAGATAGCGGTGCCGGCGTTGTCGGTGGTGGCGGCGATGGCCTTGGACCCGATGGTGTGTGTTGACAGAGGTCCACCTTGCCCAGTTAAATAGAGCTCGCTTGATCTAGGCCGTCGAATCCTCGCGCTTGTGGGTCGTTCTCCTGCAGCTACAGTAGTAGGAGCGGCGGCGGCACTAGCTTCACTAGCTTCACAGCCGGCGACTATGGCGTTGATTCTGGTTTTAGGCCCGATGAATAGTTGAACGCGAGACACCAGTACGGCGGCCGTGGAGCCCCTTGTTTTTTTGGCGGAATGGTGTATTTGCTTCCACGACGGCACCATGTGCGTGCAGGCACAAGTGTTTCAGGTGTCGGCGTGTGGATTTGTACTTCATGATGTTGCAGCCTGCAATGTATCAACGTCTCGACGGCGGCACGCATCTCATTGTTCATGCGAGGAAGAAGAGGTGCTGAATTTCCCCCTCTTTGTATGCACACGCGTATGTATGTGCTCTGGTTCTTCACTGCGAATGGGTCTGTGGGAACTCACAAACCAACAGCAAAGCAGTAGTTTCTTCGGCGTTCTTGCACAGCTGTTTCGCGCCGGCCTCGAGAGAGGGGGTGCACCAACATGACAAGTGTGACTTTCCACCGGTAGTGATTGCGCCGAATCCGATGCTGTGCATGTACAGTACGTACGCACCAACTGGACTGGGATTGCCTGCGCCGACTACGGCTCCGCACTCCATTGCGTGTTTTCCGACACGTCTAACATCCAACGCGTACAACGGGATGTAATTCACAACCCCAGGCGTTCGCAACAGCTACACGTGGTGGACGCAGTAGTATGTGTTGTGCTTGAACTGCCAACAACGGGGGTAAAAATGGTCCAGTCGAAATATTTATTGTCAATGGCTATATTCGTTTTTTATAGGGTCAGAACAGAACAACCCCAGAGGGGACTTCTGAACGAGAGTCGACGAAGAGATGTTGAGGCCCATGTGCTTCTGTGATGGCGCGTGCGAGCGGGTGTGCAGCATACAGGTAGTTTTAGACGTACGCAAAATAACAACTTGCCGGGTACCCGGCGACGGTCCTCAATTACATGCCCCCGAAGCCCATAATCGAGCTTGCTTCATCGCACGGGCGCAGAGCAAGTGCTCCCAGCCCTGGCGCGACGTATCAGGTCTTTCAAACCATTGGGCATACAACACGGTTGAACTACACGGGAGAATAGTTGTCAAAAAGAGAGAGTGGGAGGGTTGCCGGCACAGAGCCAGTTCATGCCGACATTGAGGCAACCCCTTGCACAGCACGCTCTCTCTGTGCACTCAAGTCTTCCACCGCTTGTTTCCTCTCTTTCGCAGTGTGATCGATAGCAAAAACGCTTGCTCATTGCTGCCAACCACCACAGACTCAGCAAGCTTGAGCAATTTTTTGGTTATTTTTTTTTTAGATCCTGCTGCCGATGGGAAGACCAAGACCCATCCACGACACACCGCCGATATCCGCCGCCGCAAAAACAGCTACGAGGACCGGTGTATCAACAACTACCGATTGCCTCAGTCGAGATGACACGCGCGTGCCATCTAAAGCAGACGGACGAACAGGGTCTCCCTCTCCCCTCCCCCAAACCCGGCACCCTTTCGTCAAAAACTGAGGAGTCCGCGGAGCTGCTCCGGTCTAAGCTTTATTTAGCCCAAGAAGGTGGTGGGACGCGACGCCTTGAAGGTAGTCCTGAACTTCTTCTTCGGCGCGCGCGGGAGGCGGTGAGTGAGGGGGAACTTGATGTTCGCGTTCTGCGAAACATGGAACAACCAGGAACACGGCCGTGCGAAAGGGGCAAGAGAGGCGACCAGTCACGTACGAGAAAGCAAGCCTGGGCCGCGCGAGATGATCTCTGTCTCCAGGCATGAAGCAGAGATGGCACACACAATGACCTGCTGGACGCACAGGTCCCACCCAACTTGGCGAGCTGGCAAAAATCAACACTGACAAACAAAATGATCTTTGCCCGGCCCCCTTCCTCTCCTGCTGGGAAACGTGACACGTCCCTTCACAGAACCGCCGAACGCCACAAAAGCGGGGCGTCCAGAAACCGTGACCTACACAGACCAAACACCGAAAGCCGGTGCCATCACTTCCTGGCCGTTGTCGAGAGGCACCCCCCCCCCCCCCCCCACCCCCCCCTCGGTGTTTGCCATCGGGGTTGGGTTTTCGTCGCTTGGCAACGACGTTGTAAAACAAGCCGCCCCCCCCGGTGTTTGCCATCGGGGTTTGGGTTTTCGTCGCTTGGCAACGACGTTGTAAAACAAGCCCCCCACTCGGTGTTTGCCATCGGGATTGGGTTTTCGTCGCTTGGCAACGACGTTGTAAAACAAGCCAATTCACTTCGTGAACTCGACAACCAGGTTACCGTTTTTTTTTTTTTACCTCGTTGTTTTTTTTGGCGGTAACCATAATGGTGGTCGAGTAGATCATGTTGTGCGGGGTCGAGAACCCTCACTCCGCGCAACGGGGGATGATCGCACCACGTTGTGTTAAAATGGTCAAGCTTTCTCGAGGCAGTTACACAGTGCTTACAACTGTCTCTGGAAGTGAAAGCACCAGAAAATAAATTAAGTCATACGTAGCTGTCATCCGTACGCAAGGAAGTAAGCACAAGATGCCGAACACCCTTAGCAGGATGCAGCTCACCCTTCATGCGACTCGCCAAATACCTCACGGCGCTTCGCGCTTGGTGATGTGAGAGCCTGGTCCGGTGAGAACCCGGCGTGCTCCGTCCCGGCTTTGTAGGGATGCGAGGTCAATGGTCAAACGACTACGGCATGCACGACTATGAGTACCCCCCCCCCCCCCCCCCCAAAGAAGGCCAAATTGAGTGGCTACACTCCACCTTTTGGGAAGGGTGCAAGCTTGCAGTTGCCATACTCTGCTTGCCGTGTTGCTGCACACACCGTTTGCAACCCCCCCCTCGGTGCAGAAATCGAGTTGCTTTACTCCACATGCGGTGACCGGTGACAAGCTAACAGTTGCTACACTCCGCTTGGCGTGTTGCTATACACCCCGTTTACCGCCCCCCCCCCCCCTGATGCCGAAATTGAGT